TAAAGAATCTGTACCTCAGTACCTTTGTACCTAACGTGGTGCTGTAAGTGGCGATGCATAAACTGATCACTGTACTCATTTGAGTACATGACAATAAAGCTAACTCAATTCAATTCAATATTTATTGTCCGTCCGTAGTTGCCCCTTGAGAAGGTGGGAGTGAGCTGCCTTCTTGAACCGCTGCAGTCTACCTGCTGTGTGTTGACCCACAATGCCCTTAGGGAGGGAATTCCAGGATTTTAACCCAGCGACAGCAAAGGAACAGCGATATATTTCCAAGTCAGGATGGTGAGTGGTTTGGAGGGGAACTTGCAGGGGATGGTGTTCCCATGTATGGGGGTCATTGATTTACAAACACTCCTACTTACAAACACTTGTACTTACAAACACAATCCCATAAAGGGAGTAATTTTATACACCCGACACATGAACATTTCCTGAATGTAGGAACAGTTCCTTTACACTGTCCTTCATTGTGCTCCAATCTGGGTACAAATCGATTTGTGAATGGGCTCAGGACTGGAACCCATTCACAACCCAGCGGGTGTCTGTATGTGCTACCCTTTTCTTTCTAGATGGTAACTGTTATGGTTTTGGGAGATGTTGTCAGAGGAGCCTTGTACATAAACCTGCTTTTATAGAACTACGTTAGCACAATATAAAATGTTCCAAGACATTTCACAAGAATGTAGATTAGAGAATAACCATCACCCAGCAACGTAAAACAGTAGCATTGGTGACCAAAATCTCAAACAGACAGATTTCCACGGGCATCTTAAAGGAGGATAGAGAGAGAAAGAAAGAGACAATCAGAGAGGTTTATGGAGGGAATTCTAGAGTGTTGAGTCCAGACAGCTGTAGGTATAGCAGTCAATGGTGGAGGGATACTCAAGGGGTTAGAAGTGGAGGGAGGCAGAGATATTAGAGGATTTGGGGATTGGAGGAGGTTACAGCAAGACGTAAAGGTGCGAGTCTATGTTGGGTTCAAACAAGAGGTTGATGATTTTTACAATACAATTATTGCCAGACTGTGAGCAAAACCTTCATCAACAACACAGAGCATGGGCAATGTTCCTGTGAACTGCACCAAGCAGAATATTCTGGATTACTGCCCTACCAAGCTGCTGTGCCCAGTTTACAGGGAATACTAGTGAGCAGTAACTGGGACATGACAACATTTAGAAGAGCTCAGATAGACAGAGGATGGGAGATGGTGTTATATCAAGGAACTTCAACATTCTTAAGCACAAGATCACTTTTTGAGTTTTAGTGCAAACCAGAATCTACCCGAAAGAAAATAAAGCATTTACTTTTAGTGTATCTGATTATTCATTTTGTCTTCTACACACAGTCTCAGTATGTTATCCACCCCCATGAGTTGCCAAATTATAGTTTGAACTAGCTAGTCCTATATAGTCCGTCAAATGGGTATTCGTGAGGCAGGCGAGATATTTGGACTTGATTATCTGTATTTGGGAGAATGCTGTCTCAGAGGGATGTGGTACCAAAGCTTTCATTGTAAAACCACAGGATAATAGCAGTGTGTATTTTTCTCTGTTTACAAATCTCCAAAGATCACTGTCCCGTGTTCCAACTTCCAGCTCAATATCATTTGGCACAGTTAATTATGTCCACTTCAGTACCACTGACTCGTAAATCAAACACCTAATGGAATCTGATAGCCAGCCCAACAACGTCTGTTTGAAGGAAGAGACTGGAGGGAAACATGACCATTTGTTCCAATGCATCTAATTCCTGAAATTTGCCTGTAGAAATGACCCCACGTTGCTAAGTCTCTATCCTCTCTGTGCAGTTCACAGTTCAGCTCATTCAGCTCTGATGTTTTGTCTGTAAGGAACATGAAGCCAAGTAACCACACATTGACAGCTCCTTGCACACCTCATTCCTTCTTGAGTGTTGTTAGAGCTGCATCCATCCAGGAAAGTGGGGAATATTCCATCACACTCCTGACTTGTGCCTTGTAGATGGCGGACAGGCTTTGGGGAGTCACACACCGCTGTATTCCTAGCCTCTGACCTGCTCTTGTAGCCACTTTGTTTATGTTTTTTTGTGTATCGAATCCAGTTAAGTTTCACATCAATGTTCCTCATCACGCATTTTACAAAAACTATTACCTCAGATTCTTCTGTTTGACCAGGTCCCTGATGTGGGATTTGAACCCATGAACATCTGACTCAGAAACGAGTCAGAGCTACGCACTGAGCAACAGACACTGATACCACAAATTAAACAGGATAACAGACGCCTGCCCAGAAATCAGTGTGCAACCCAACCTCTGCACCTACCTCATTTGTGAAGAGGAGGTAGAAGGACAAGGTGAAGATAAGCACTCCCACCATCATTCCCCCCGTTGTCTCCCCAAGACGTTCCAGGAATCCCTGCTTCCTCTGATTTGTGACCTTCACGTGTTCATCCCTGCTGCCTCCTGGTTGCTGCAAAACCAGAAGGGATAAGCTCTCATGAATCTTTAAGTACCATCTTAAAAACAAAATCAAGACAGGTGAACTTTGTAAACATTTTCATGGGATGTGGAGTATCATTGACTAGGCTGGCCATCTCTAATTTCCCTTCAAAAGGTGGTGGTTGGCTGCCTTCATTAACTGCTGCAGGCCATTCAGTACAGGCACACCCAAAAACATAAGGTGTTTATACAACAGTGACACAATTTTTGATTCCTGGTCAAACTGATATTTATTGCCCATCCATATTACCCAGAACCAGTATAATCATGCTGACTAACATAATTGAGGATCTTGCACAGCATTTAAAAGATAATCTTGACGAATGGGTCTGAAGTCATTTACACGTCGTCAGTGACATCTCATTAACCAATCCCCCCCCACCCATTATGTTTTGATTATAGTCCAGCATCATTTTGATTCATTCTGGTGCTGGCCAACAATTGTGCTGATTAGAAACAAAAACCCAGCAATTGATGGAGAGTTGTTGGCTTCAGTCCAGGGCCATAGTAGACTTTGTATCTATGTAGGAACAAAAACAAAGTTGCTGGATCTATGTGTTGTGGGTTACATAGATCTGCACCAGAAGTGCTAATTTGCAGTGTTTTACAATCCTTCACCTTGGCAGAATGCTGTAGCCTGAAAACCTGGGATAAAAGAAACAAGGGGAGAGGGAAGGGTTGGTGGTTCTGATTGGGGTGGGAGGTGGGGAGGAGGACTCTGGTTAGCCCCTTTGTTTTTACAAGAAGAGATATCAGATCTCTTGCAAATATGCCAGGGAGATGGGAACTTTGTCTTCCTCAGGTTCAAAGCTGTGCCACGTGGATCTGGACTGACAGAATATAGACAGGAGACCCCTTCCCCAGGGATAACTTCAGATTATAATGTGTCCAACACCAATTCAGATTAATCTTCACCTGCACGTTTACAAGGCTGTTGTTTGTGGTTCTGAACTTACATTAGGCCTCACCATGGTTTCCCTGCCAATACCACACTGAGGGGTTCACCACTATCTGCTCTGTCCCCTCTCACACCGCCACTTCCGGCTTCAAGGGGGATACATTCTGCGCCTGCACACTCCTGAGGGGCGTGTCTACTCCCGTGAAGGTTGCCGGGAGATGGTGTCGTCTCCCCAGGAATGCTGGGGAATGTAGTCTCATCTACGGGAGGATACTGGGAGGTGGCATCCCCTGGCGCAGTCTGGGAAATGTAGGCCCCGCCCGCAAGCATGCTGGGAGCTGTAGTTTTCTTCAGCTTGAACCTGGTCCCCAGGGAAAATAAAACCCCAATATATAAATGACTTTATTCACCTGCATCCACTCATATTGAGGTGATTACACAATTCGACTGAACATGGCAACACAAAATCTTAAGACCATCTTAGCTAGGAGCAGGGGTAGGCCATTCAGCCCCTGAAACATATACTGTCATTCTATAAGATCATGCCTCATCCAGTTGTGTCTTTCACTCGATTTTCCCGCTAGTCAATTCTATAGATTAACCACGTGGTTATTACATATTGTACAATATTGAGCCTGTGGATTCTATAGATTAAAATAAAACAATGAATTACAAATGCTGGAAATCTAAAACAAAAACAGAAATTGCTGGAGAAAATCAGTAGGACTGACAGCAACTGTGGGAAGAAAGCATAGTTAATGTTTAGGGTCTAGCGACTCTTCATCAGAACTGTTAAGAGCCAGAAAAATGTGATATTTATGCTGAAGCTGAAGTTGGGGACGTGAAGGGGAGATGAGGGTGGATTGATGGAGACAGAGCCCAGAGACAGAGAGATATGAAAGGGCTAGGTAAACAGGGAAATTATGGGTAACAGGCCAGGATAGAAAAAAAAACTGAATAAGTGATAATGAGAGCTAAGAGTAGGAGAAAATTAGTGAGCTGTACTGAATGCAACCCAGTCTGTGTCACGCAAACCACTTTGCAGAACACCAAGCTCTGTCTGCAAAATGATCCTAATCTTCCTGCTGCCTGCCACTTCAACACACTACTGTGTTCCCATGCCAAAATTTCTGTCGCAGGCTTGCTGTAGTGTTCCAGCCAATCTCAGTGCAAGGTCGAAGAACATCTTATTGGGGATCTTGTGACCTCTCCAACTCAACAATGAGTTCAATAACCTTAGAGCCTAATGCAGTCCTTCCATACTTTTTACCCACAGCCACACCTGATCCTCTCAATGACCACAATCACCCATTCTCACAAACTCGTTGGTCCATTACAACTTAATGAACATTGTTTATTCAATAGGTGGATATGATGGACATTATACATGATACAGGGTGGGTATTATGGACAATATACATTCCATAGGGTGGGTTTATGGACAATATAGATCCTATGGGGTAGGTATTGTGGGCATAATACATTCTAATGGATTGGTATTATGGATATTGTACATTCTATAGGGTGTATATTATAGATTCTATAGGGGAGGTGTTTTGGGCTGTCTCTGCGGATTTAAATTGGGCCCCTGGTTCTGGCCCCGCCCTCTCGCTGTGATTGGTTCCCGCCCGTGGGGTCAGAGGTCAGGCCGGGAGCACGGGCCGGAGGCTGAGGGACACATTTCTTCCCCACCCCCCCCGGACACAAACCCTCACACAGAGCGAGAGACAGACAGACAGAGAGAGAGATATGTCCCACTGCCGGCGGCACGGTGAGGGGCCGGGGGTGTGGGGAACGGAGGGTCAGGTGTGAGGGAGAGAGGGTCGGGGGGGGGG